AGTTACAAGGACGACGACAAAAACACAGTTGTTCATAAGCCAACTATGTTTGTAACAAATTCTGACGCAAAGCGAACTACTAGAAAGCATTCTTTAAAAATATGATAGATAGTTACAGATAGTAAGTTCAATTTGTATGTGAAAAGAAATCGAAGATGCTATGCAAATAGTACAGAAACAATTTCAAGTTCTAAGAGCATTTACTTTTGGAAAATTCAAACTGCAAAGTGGGGAAAGGGGCTTCAATGATTGTATGAAGAATCTGCATTTTTCTTCCAAATAACTAAGTGGTTAGTGTGCTTTAAAAAAGTATACCAAATAAACTGCAATCGACATTTCATTGTTTTATATATTTCCGATATATCCTATATTTTCCGATATTTATTTAATCAAATTAAATTTGGCTAATACAATTACATTCCAAGCTGATCGGCTGCGAAGGTGGTTCAAATTCGACAAAAATGTCTTGAAACTTCCTTATAGCTATCAGTCTTTATGAAATTGCTATCTATTATTAGATGCCCAAACAAAATTGTCTACCCTAACAAGGGGGCCGAATCACAAAACTTAATGCAATCAAACTGAAAGTGAGAGCACGCCAATAAATTAAAGCCAATCACTACCATCCATATACATATATCCGTATATAAATATCAGACAGACTCGCACATCTCTGAGGATGGGCCCTTGTAATTGGAGGCCGGAGGCTGGAGGCTGGATTGTAGCCGCGTCTTGTCAATTCGCAAAAATCGCAACACAGTGCGGGTAATTCAAATTAATTGCCGACAATTGTGACTTATTTAAGGCAAAGGCGCCATTTAATGTAACAACCAACGTGGAAGTCCAGACGCTGGTTCTCCTCACATACAAGTATACCATTGACTAGACAAGCTAAATGCACCTCCAACTGAAGAGAAGTGTGTAATTGAAATCGATATTTTGATATGACAGTGAACAAAGCAATTGATTCAAATGTTTGAGCGCTTAATAAAGTTAGAAAATAATTGCGATCTTAAATCCATATGGGGATACAACAGAATAGAGGATGAAGTTACCTTTGGAGATGCTTTTAGTTAAACAGAAACGTTCTCTAGATTAAAAAGCTGAAACTTCGAATGAAGCCAAGCGCGTACTTAGGAATTGGTTAGGAAATTTATTGAAAGAATGATATGTGGGTTTAATAAAGTTGTTCAAAAGAATTTAAAATAAAGGAGCCTTGGACTAAAGCTGCTATAAAATACAAAACTAAACTTGGAATCAATATTACAACGTAATTGAGCGAGAAAAAGTTTGAAGCAAATATTTGAAAGAGTGGCTATGGAGTATTTAAGAGTAGGGTTCGCCGGACTCCAGAAGTCTGACTTCAGCATCCTAGCTCCAATTTCTATTCTAGGTAAATGCGTTTACAAATTCTGTGGGATATCCCCCATCTAGTCGGATTCGTTATTAGATATTTTTGTAATTTCTACAGACTGTTTTATTATCTAGCTTAACTTCTCTGCTGTATTTATTTTTTTAGCAACGTTAGCTTTGTTTGTTGATGAATGATGATAAATAAAAAGTATCCACAGATTTGAAAGTGCCTAGTGGACCTGGTATTTATTTTGAAATAGCCTCGTTAAGATCATTGTTATCCCTTTTTTTCTGGTTTAACCTAGCATAATTTTTGTAATACAAGTATAATAATAATAATTGCTAGTCAGCCATTCTGTTGGCCATTCGGGCTATGATGCAGTGCCACGTTAGAACTCCTCTAACTAATCGTGTCCTGCTTTTCTCAAAGTCTGCAATGTTTTTCTGGCATTCTATTTTTTCGCCATACCCTTATTGGACTCACAAATTCCTTGGAGTTGTCTTTGTTTAGCCATTGCTGCCAAAATCCTCATGATTTTCTTGCCCATTCATAACGAATTTTCTTAATAAATATTTTGTTAATTATTTTGGTTGAATGAATGAAAAGGAGGGACGCATGTCTGGGCCGCAAAATAATTTCACTTAATTTATAAATTAAATTTGTTGTTGTTGTTAGTGTTGTTGTTGTGGGTGTGACGTACTGTGTTTTGTTGCTTAATTGTTTGTAATTAAATAAAATTGTCCAAGGTCGCAGTTACATACTCCCCGGCATTGGGTGCTGGAAAATCCATGATACCAATTTGTTTTAATATAAAAGCTGAAAACGCCGGCCGGCAATTTCATTTGCTTGCTGCTGCTGTTGTTGTTGTTGTTGCTGTTGTTCTTTGAAAATTGATTCCTGCTCATTATTTCATTAAACTGTGGCGCTGACAATTGGCCAGATTGGACAGACTGATGGACTGACTAGCAGACCAGTCTGTTTGTATGTACGAGTATGGTCGAGACTATAACGCCGTCGTCGCATTTGAGTGTTCAGTGATTTCTGGCTGCAGTCCGATTTGATTTTATGAATGAAATTGTATCAATTGATTGTTTTGGTGCTGTTATCGTTGCCTTTTGATCGTCAATAATTAAGTCCCCATAATATCTGAGCTCTGCTTGCTGCCCCTCTGTCTGTCTGTCTGCCTGCCTGTCTTTGGCTAAATAGATGAGAGTTATGGAAAGTGGGTGGCTTCTTGTTCTGCTAATTCGACGATGTCTATTTTCTGTCGGATATCATGAATAAAGCAATTTGTTGTTTAGTGTAATTGAATTGATTTCAGTGGGCGGTTGAAAAAAATTAAAATATTTAGGTTTATCAATTACTTATAATTTCATTATCAACCATAAAATAAATTGCTTTAAATTAAAATGAAAGAAAACTTTAAAAAAAATGGAAAACTTTAATGATAATGAGTAGGATTTTTTGAAGTTTTTTATTTAATCAATATTTAAATTTTTTGGCCCCCCTTTGGAAAAAGCAGCGTACGATCAGCAACTTCAAAAAACTGTGTAATGGTGTAAATAGTGTCAGAAGCTTAAAGCATAAATTAAATTTGAGTTGGATTCACCTTATAGGAAATGTAACCTACATTTTTTAATCCATAATTAGATATGTATATATCTGCATTGTGTGTTTGATTCACGACATAAGACTCTCTTTAAACTGTTAGACATATAATGCCAGAAAATTTAATAGCATTTAGAAGCTTCAATCGTCAGAACTGTAGACTTCCAATTTTCACCTAAAAACTTAAATTTTCCCCTATCCACATATGTACTTGAAAGCTCAGCAAACGCTTCAAAGCTACTAAGGTCTTAACTTAGCGATAAACTTGGCAGCAAACTCACTATCTTTTTAATGTTTGTTTAAGTCATGTGATCAGTCACTTGATTATTAAAACAATTATTACGTTAAGGAAGCGCGAATCTCATATACGCTATAAAAAGAAACATTGTTGCAATATGTTTTCCACAAAAATAAACATACTAATGTTAGATTATACATGTCTAAAGAAATTTAAGATGTCATAATTAACGCCCAGAAGAATTCAAAACAGAAACCTGCAAATTACTGGCGCATACGTAATATTTGCAGAGATAATTTAGAAGATGGGATGTAAAGAAATAAGCAAACCAGAGCACGAGATCATTGATCGGAACAAGTTAATAAATAAACAGATGTGTTAATAACATTGTTAGCTAGTGTGTAGAGAGCTATGGTCGGACAGGCAAATAATTTTCACACAACATTGTCTAGTTTTACAAATAAATAGTTACTTCAATGAACAGCAGCAAGAGTTCTATAAACATTGATTTCGTCCACAACAAACTTCTTTCAAATTAGGTTATATATAAAAGTGCAAATGTTCACACAGGCAAATAATTTGCACAACAATTTTTCCATTTTAAGAAGTGTGCTATGAATAGAACGTTGTTTCATAAAACACTAATTATAATTCCTTACTAAGCTACTCCTTCGGTGTTTACTTTCGATAGATTACTTGCAAACTAGCGAACATTTGTGTGGAATTGGTCAACCAGGCAAAAATTTGCACACAAATTTGTCTAAACTCAGAAGTGTGCGCATAAATAACATTTTGTTTCATTAAAATTTAATACTAAACAATTTTTCGAAGTACTTTTGAAATAACACAAATTTAAGGGAAAATAGTCCGAGACTAATAATTTGCTCAACTGAAACGTTCCTTAAATATAAAACCAGTAAGAGTTTTATGCTTAAATTTAGTTTTCTTCGACAATAAATTTTCGTAGAAATTCAGTTTTCAAAGCCTAATTGTCAGATAATATGCGTTTGTGTGCAAATGGTCAGACGGGCAAATAATTTGGACACAAATACATTCATTTCATTACCAAAAAGAACTGCTTTGGAATTCAATTCTTAGACTCTACCCTCTGAAATATCTCCAAAATTTATAAGAAAAATGTTTGCCAGTATGAACATAGCTTACAAGCAAGTCAAGCATTAAAATTGTTGGCCATCAATAAAAGGCACTACCAATTCCCAGATCGATCTACAGCTTCGTGGCCTGTTATAGAAATATTTTCAACCTTAAATTTAACGACTGTTGAAGGGCTCTGAAAATACTGTCTGTACATAAGACCGACTTGAAATGCAATAGTACATATGTATGTAGTACATACTATGTACATACATATATGTGTGCATTATGTTTGTTTGCCTGAACCAGAAATTCCAAAATATGTACGTACTAGGCACAGCCAGGGGGAGAGGCACACTGGATAGGTGAGGGGTACGGAAACTCTCGCGTATGACATGCGGGCAAGTTTTAAATTGATCTTAACGAAGCTTAATTGAAGGCACTGGTATTGGTGCGTGTGTGTGTGTATGTGTGTGTGTGCGTGTCGAGTATCGAGCCAAAACGCAAGGGTAGTAGTTGTGCCAAGTATTGTAGACAGTGTTGTAGAGGGGGAGGGGTGACGTGAAAGAAGTAAGAACGCTCGAGCTGTCAAGACAAGTGTCAGCAAATAAATCTACAAACAAATGCTTTCGAGTTTTGTTGTTTTTTTCTTTCGTGTTATTTTTTCTTCTTGGTTTTGTTTTTTTTTTCTACACAAACCATAACTAAGTTGGTAATTTATTTTAATTTTAAGTATCAACTGGTGGCTTCGCATGTGAGAATTGTGTTCTACATATATGTGTAGATATTGTTTAATCTTTGGATACACGATTATTGTACACGCTTTCAACTTAAATCAAAGAATTATGCATTATGCAAGTACGGTTAGGTTATAGAAAATAAAAACAACCTCAGCGGAGCGAAAATGTAACTAAGTTGGAGTACAGAGAAGGGGTGCTAATGAAGTACAAATTGTTGTAATGTTGTTGTTGGCTAGTATTTGTAGATCTGTTTGTCGCCTTAGGCATTGGCAAAATCAATGCCCTTCTGAATGTTCTTCTTCAGCTCGGGAATGGCGGCCTCCAATAGTTTCTTCTCATAGTCATTCAACTTGGGCAGTCCCAAGTTCTCCTGCAGACCGTTCTTGCCCAGGACGAGGGGTGTCGAGAAGAATGTCGCCTCGGTGATGTTGGACTGGACATAGGAGCACTCGATGACGTTCTTCTCACCATTCAGACCCTTGAGCAGGGAGCCAGCGAAGCGAGCACCGGCATATGCCATCGAGAGGGTCGCGGAACCGGCGCCAGCCTTAGCCTTAACCACCTCAGTACCGGCCTCCTGAATTCGCACAGTCAACTTTTCAATGGCATCCTGATTGCCCTTGAACTGAGGCTGGCTCTGGGAAAGCACAGGCAGAATGGTGACACCGGAATGGCCACCGATGACGGGAATTTGAACCTGCTGGGGATCAACGCCAAGGGCGTGGCCAATGAAGGCGCGAGCGCGCACAACATCCAGAGTGGAGACACCAAACAGGCGCTTGGGATCGTAGACGCCGGCCTAACAAACAAATTGTATTCAATAAGTTTAAATGATTTAACTTTTTCATTTATTCGCAATTACCTTTTTCAGAATCTCGGCAGCAATTGGTACACAGGTGTTGACGGGATTTGTAATGATGGCCACCAGAGCCTTGGGGCAGTTCTTGGCAATGGAGTTGGAAATGTCCCTGATGATGCCAGCATTGACATTGAACAGATCATCGCGGGTCATGCCCGGCTTGCGTGGCACACCAGCGGGGATAACGACAACATCGGAGCCTAAAAAAGAATCCAAAAATCGAAAGAGAGTGCAAAGAACAATAAGACAAAGGTCCGTTTTCAAACAAACAAATGCTACTTATAAACAAATGCTATAAACAGATGCTTTGCATTGCCATTATCATTGAACTTGCAAGTCAGATTCTATATTTTTTTCACAAAAAATAAATTATATATGTAGACTAAAGCTCTCATTTTATGAACTCGAACTAATCTAAAACGAATGTATTTAGTTCAAATATACATTATATAACCATTACATAAATACATATATATTTTTTACAAACAAATAATGTAAAATCATTTGAGCTTTAGCTCAGCCTTAGCTTCATATTTAAATTTCTATTTCGAGTTTAAGGTTAAATTATTGCAAAACAATCATATTATTTGTTGGGTGGTGCTGATATAACATCCATAGTCAATACATAGTTTCAAGTTTTATTTATTAGCACCCCCCTCAACGTTAGAATTCAACTTGAACTTGAATTTCGATTCACAAGAGATAATGTTACAGTCGAGCAAACCCGACAGTGAAATACCCTCACTTATATTATAGTATGTAAAGAAGAACAAAACCGCAGCTGTAACTTAAGCGGCTGAGACTGACATAAAATCGTTTTGGTCACAACTTTTCTTAGAAATAACCAATTTAGGTGACATTAGAAATAGAGAATTCAGAATTATATACATACATATAAATATACGTATGTATGTATGTACATTTGCACAAACCTAATATACCTTTTTTAAATTTCCGTTACAGGGCACTAAAGCATCATCTTTAGTTTGTGCATCGTATTGTTATCTATGAGCGGCGCTCAGATCATAAACCGGTTATACGCCTACACATATGGAAACTTTTCGCTTACACGATCTAACATAACATAACCTCACTTGCCGTCCTCAACTCACCCTTCAGAGAGTCACCCAATTGTTCGGCTCCAATGAAGCCAGCGGTCTTGCTCTGGGTATCAATGTGGGAGAGATCGGCCGCAACACCGGGCGTATGGACGATATCGTACAAGGCCAGATCACTGACCAAGGGATTTTGCTTAAGCAGCAGCGACAGGGGCTGGCCAATGCCGCCAGCGGCTCCGCAAACAGTTACCTTGTAGTTGTTCTATAAAGAAACGGAACACTCAGACTACAGTTACTCGTTTCAAAACACTCGTCACTTTTGATCGAAGCCAGTTTTAAACGAAATGCGAATGCATTGTAATTTAAAATTACAGAGTTCAATGTATTACGTAAACACAATTTACACGATAATGGTGGCCAGAACATTAATGGTATTGAAATATTGGCCTATTGAAACTTTTATATATTACCTGCTTGCTGCACGAGAAATTGCGCACGCCTTGCAGCGCCAATTGTTTGGTCACTTGCTTGAACATTTTGTTAAATAATTATTTAATTAATTTAGTTGAATTTCTGTGCAAAACAAAAAGCACTGCAGCTTGCAAAATCCCAAGAGCTCTAATCGCAGAAAGCACTCTCGGCCACCTAGTCGCAAGGTTAAAAGCAGCGTGTTGTTGTTGTTGCTCACTCCCAGAGTCACTTATGGAGCTGCCAACTTGTTTGCAAAACAAAAATACAGGCGCCAATTTAAGTGAGCGTAAGCTTTTATTTGAACTGAAGCTTTTTTGTTTTTGTTCGCTTGGCGTTTTAAATACTCATATTGTAAATTACATTTGAAATTGTTGCATTCGCAGCTCTACTTGTAGAGCAATGCAGGCGCGTTTCTCTTCCTTTAGTTCCATGCCCAACATTTGTTTTTTATGCTCCAGAAGCGCGTTTTCACGCGTATAATGCTCAATGACGCGTTCGTAGTCGCCATCAGCAGGTAGCTCAGTTGGCTGTGGCACGGGAGCCATTGTAGCCTGCTGGCGTTGTAATTTCTGGTCGTACAGTTGTTTTAATCTAAACACTTCGTTGCGTTCGCTCAAAATGCGCGCTTTTAGTTCATTTTGCCATGCAATTAATTCATCGTACTCGATCTGAAGGCGCAATAATTCATCTCGATGTGGATTTGTTTTCGGCAACAAAACATAGCCGCTAATTTTGTCGATGATGAATTCCGGCACAGCCACGGGCGAGTCTATTTGAGGCCTTGATTCCACACTTGTCGTGCTTACTTCATCAACGGAAACCCCGGCACTTAAATCAATTGATTTTTTCTTGTTGTTCGTAGGTGGCTTAGAATCTGTGGTATCTTCGCTTATGGTGGCTACGGGAACAGGTGCAGGTACTGTTGTTAAAGTTGCAGCTGTTGGTGATGTTGTTGCTATTGCTGTGCTTTCCAGCTCCTCGATAGATTTTTCTTGTTTCTTTTCGAAGCTCTTCAATTTTCGTTTCAGCTGAGTTATGATCCTTTGTACTTCCCAGAGCTGTTCCTCACGCTTCTTTGTTATGAAACCTGCATTCATTTCGCTGTGTATTTGCGACAACAGACTATCCTGTTTTCTCAACTCTGTTTGTATATCGTCTGGCTTCTCCGGCAACTTGGGACTGGACGATGTAAGTGGGGGCACATATCTGTAGAAACAGAAAATATGGTTAGTTTGTAGTTGTCGTTTAGTTTCAATGTGTAAGGCATTTAACTTGAGCACAAATTGCACAAATCGCGCAAAACGATTGCGTTTCCGTGGCACCACACTCATAGCCATCAACGATCTCTATGTAATAGAGATCAGCAGCGCATGTGCTCTAATCTTATCTCTTGACAGTTTACTCACTTTATCAGCTTGACGTCTGGAAACAGTTGATTGCAGTGACACAAGAGTGCGACCATTAAACGGTGGGACATCTGAAGTGTGCTGCTAAGCAGCATGGCCAGCGATTGTGCGTTCAGTTTGTTGTGCCGCTCCTGCTGTATGACCGCATCGAAATGCAAGAGGACCCATGCCAAAAGTGTGCGATTGCATTTGGGCAACTGTTCGAGTAACTGTTGGAGTTCTTCCTGCTGCTTGGTGACCTCTGGATGCGAGGCTACCTCTTCGAAACGTGCCATCAGATCTGTGGTGAGCGGTGGTTCTGGTAACTCGCGCAGAAATAACTTTAAAAGGCTGCAAGCTGTAGGTAAATTTAATTCATCCACTTCGGCATCGTATTCCCGATTGTTATACAATCGTTTGTAGTGCATGAGACGCGTCTTAATGGGCTCCACCTTGTAAATTTGCTCGCATTTCAGGCAGTGCTCCTGTAGATAGTCGATGCAGTCGCGCACGACCAGCGGCAAATCGATGCCATCATGGCAGCGACTACGTTCGGTTGCTAAGCTCACGGATACTCCGAAAACGGGATAGCCAAGAGCTAGTGCCTCCTCTGCACTGACGTCATCCTGATGCGCCTGCTTGGACTTTTTCTCCTTTTTGTCTTTCTCCTTCTTTTCGGATTTTTTATCTTTTTCTTTGCGCTCCTTGTCTTTCTTTTTGTGCTCCTTCTCCTCGTGTGCTTTGTCCTTATCCTTTTGTGGCTCTTCTTCGACTTGCTTCAATTCCTTGTCCGTTTTCTCCTTATCCCGTGATTTCTCACGCTTCTCTTTGCTCTTGGAACTTGTGAATTTAAACGTTTTTGATTTTTTGGATTTCGAAGGGCTTCTGTTGGGCACATATACATAGTAAGTGTATTTATATATCATGCGACTTATGCAGGCATTTATTTATAGTTCCATGTCTACTTACTTGGTGTCTAGCTCCTCCTCAGGCGAACTTTCACCTTCAAGTGCTGCATAGCCCCGATCCTTGCCCTTATCCTTTTTATCTTTCCGTCGTCCGATAAGCAATGAATCTTTTTTGCTGTGCTTATCATGTTCACCATCGCTGTCTGGAAAACACAAAGAAATTTAATTGATTTTCCCGCACCGCGCCCAATTCAGTATCAAGCGCTTACAATCGCTTTCCTCTTTGCTCTTTTTCGATGTGGATTCGGAGGCATACAAGCCGGGGAACTCCTTCTCTTCGGGACTGTCAAAGTCCATGTTGTGGCTATTTGAGTTAAATAAACAATTAACTCGGCCAATTATTATGTTTACAAGCCGCTGAGGCAATCAATAAACAGAGCTTCTTCTTCTTCTGCTCTTCGCAGCAGCTGTTTATGAGCGGCGTTGCCCATTTGTTTTGTTTACATTCGCGTTTCTGACGCTTTAATTGTGGTTTGAAAAAGGAAAACAATTAATGTGAAAATTTGTATTGCTTCACCATGTCGCTGCCTCTTAACCAAATGCAGCGTGATCATCTGAAGCTGCTCCAGCGTCCGGACTTATGCTTAGAGTTGTGCAAACACGCCTTCGACTACCTCATCAATGGCCCAAATCCGGCTCGGTATGAGGTGCTCGCAAAGAAATATGCAGTGGACGAAAGAAGTGTCCAAATGGCAGTGGAAGCTTTGATCTCTTTGCTAATTAATGTCACCAAAAAGGCGCATGAAATTGATTTGGAGATGTTGCGTCAAACCTTTCCCGATCTGAGCGAAGAAGTTCTCGAAGTGCTTGTGCAATTTGCGCAGAGCAAGCGCAACTTTGTGGAGAGTTCCATAAAATCGGCAAATCTCCGTTCCTATCGCCTTGTTAATCTGGATTGGCGACTGGAGGTGCGCATTGCGTCTCGCAGCTTGCTGCAGCAAAGCAATATTGTTGTGACTATGAAGCTGTACCTACATAGAGAGCCCAAAAACGAAAACCGGGAACTGCTCGAAGTGGACACGACAGGACGCACACAGGAAGAACTGCGTGCTATGGAACAGGACGAGCGACGGCATCGCAAGGATGTGCTAGTGCAAACGGATGTCAACAGCTTAGTGCATATGATCAAAGTTCTCGAGGATGCCATGATGGAGTCTAAGACGCGACGCATCAGAAATATTGTGGCAGCCATACATTAACCTTAAATAATTGATTAATTAATTACTAAGTCACAACGTTTTAGGTGTATGTTATAAGCTGGACCAATTTATTACTAGTAAAACTAACTACAAACATCTTAACCTGATGCCGTCAAAGCTTCAATCGCTGCTGCCTTCAGTGCAACCTTCTTCTTTTGGCGATCGGCGCGTTTCTCCTCTGGTGTCTTTTTAAGCGCCTTGACGCGACGTGTCTGTATGGATCCAGTTTCCTGTTTGCCCAGATGTACACGTCCCTTGGTATTGCCCAAGCCGTCCGTGGTGATATTCTTCTTTTTGGTGACCTTAAGCTGTTTGGGCTGCTTTCTGGACTGTTTGTACAAATCCTCAGACGCGATTTTCGTGCGACGTATAGAGAAATCGGCCGATGGACCAATTTCCTCCAACTCAATGCGCGGTGTCTTCTGGCCCGACTTTTTTAGTAATATTTGATAAGAACGCATCAAAATATTCATGTCATCGGTGACAGTGAAACTAAGGACATGCTCAATGCCTTGCAAGCGTATAGATTCGACTTTTTCTCGGTGGAATGTGTCTATAAACAAATTTCGCAAGCGACGCAGTTCCTCCGTTTGCGCCCATTTGGGACCATTGAATACAAGGCAGGGTTTCACGCAGGTGCCGATCTTCTCGTTTTTAAAGTCTGAAATAGACAGGTAACGTTTAATGCCCAACTCGAACATGTCGAGGATTTCGTTCTCAAATATGCGACCAAGCACAATATTATCCGGCCGCTTCTTAGATGTAGACCCAAAGGCAAACTGCGCAGCATCGTTTTTCATTGCCAAGCTGTGAACAAAGATAAGAGTGAGTCCAGATCCTGATCTAAATGCACGAACATTGTTTACTTACAATTCCAAAGAGGAAGGATCATCGAAGGGCGTTATATCGTTTTTGCGGTTTAGCACCTTAACCAATGGCTTCTTTAGCTGCTGTAAATCTTTCATGCATTGCTTCACATTGCCTCCACATTTACGTCCGTCCAGAAAGACCATAGTACGTGCCGGCTCCACAAGTTGAGGCTCCCGAGCCAACAGCACTTTTTTACCCTTGCGAGTTTTTGGTTTTCTACAGAACAACGGTAGTTCCTTGTTTATAATCTTAACTAATCAATCGTTAGGTACTTACCTGATGCGTAAAAGCGACATGTTTAGGCGATAATTCAGGTAAAATGGTTGAAAATTAAAAATTTCTGCAGAAATACTTTCTGCACGTGTAGCGTCGCTCAGGCGTTGCCACCTTCTCGCTACATTAGGTGTTCCGAGCAAGATAAATATTTAAATCGGGTTGGCAGCTCCATAACGCCTATGCAACAGTTTACGGTGCACTTATATTGTATATAAAAAAAGAGTTGTTGAGAATGGTATAATAATGCTGCGTAAAAGTCACAGCCAGGCTATTTTGCTGGTACGCAGTCTTGGGGATATAACCCGTGGATTGGCTGCAACAAAGAAGCCGACCAAGAAACGGGAAAATGTCAAGCCCCCCAAAGCGCCGACCAAAGAATCGGAGTTGCCTGTGGATGAGTCTTTAAATCCTGGTTACCTTACACGTACCTTAGGTAGCCAAAAATTCTTCTATATTGTAAACGTAATTCACTAATACTGTCAGTTTTTTCAGGCAGTAATTACCGTGTCTGGGCAGCAGCTTTGGAAAAGCATCCCGAATTAAGAACTGTGAAAAGGAAGGATCTGCAGAACGCCTTCAATGCTTTAAAATCGTTGAATTACAGTGTCGATGACATCGTAACAAAGCCAATGATTATGTATTATAATGCATCGACGCTATCCAACCGTCACAGTGTGCTGCTTGAATGTGGGCTGCAGGAAATTTCCATTCCCACATTGTTTAAATACGTGACGGTGATAAACAGGCCTATTAACATACTAAAATCATATCGCTACATACCATACGATCTGAATGTGTCTCGAAAATTGGCTGCATCCTTTACAGATGTGGAGTTGCCCAAGCATTTGCATGAATCTGTTGATGAGATCATCCCACTAAAGACTCTGAGGCAGACACTGCTCAATGAATACCTGAGCCGGCGTCTGCAAATGAGTGACGAGGATCTGGCGAAGATGTGGCGCGTCTATGGACGTGTACGCCACAAAAGTTTTCAATCTGTTCAGGATACAATTGAGCTGTTGACCAAGGAGCTTAATTTTCCTGACGAACGTCTGCGCAAAAATATCTTTCTGCTGCATGCCGATGCGGATAATGTACGTCGCATACTGCAGGAGATACCCACAATAGATGACATGGATATAAAGCAAATAGGTTTTCGTCGACCCAAAATCCTAATGTCCAGTTGTGACAGCCTCAAGCAGACATTGGAACATGTTCGCGCCTTTGGCATCAGAGAGAATGCTATCATGCGCTGCTTGGAGGTGCTTACTCTAGGACCCGATACCGTGTTGGAGCGCCTGCGAGATTTAAACGAGATCGAAGAGTTCCAAGTGCTGGGCACGAATCCGCGTATCCTGCGTCTCGTACACTATCAGAATAAGGCGCGCCTGCGTCTAGACTATCTAAATCAGCTAAAGGTCCGCTGTGCCTCTCTGCATATTCTCTCCTGCGGCTCTGAAGCGTTTGCCAAGTTGGTATCAACTTTAATCTTAGTTTAAAGAAGGAATTTATTTTGTTTTTGTATCATTAAAAGGTTTGCTCGCGATGGCTCTGATCGCACGAAAGGTCGCGACATTATTTTCTATTTGAGCAATCTTATGTTCAAGGATCAGCAGCTGCTGCGGGATCTGCTCTCGCGTCATCCAAATTGGTGTCACATACCTTTATTGCAGGTGAAACAATGTCTGGAATATTTGCTAAGCAAGAAATTTTCGATAGACGACATTTTCCATAACATCCATCTGCTCGTATATCCCATGTAAGTTAAAAACTATAGTCTAGCACTCTGCATATTGATACTCTTCCTTCACCACAGTAAACGTATTGAGGAGAAGCTTTTTTTGCTGCAATCGTCAGACTATTTCGAGGAACTGCAGCTGCCGAATGTTTCCGACGTAAATGCGCTCAGTAACTCACAGATTTTGACGCTCATACTCTATTTAATCGAATCAGAGTTTCATTTTACTGGCGATGGCATTTGGACGGAACAGCACTCTCATCATGTGGAGAACTTTAATAATCTACTGCCTGATTTCCCAGAGAGCTTGAACAAAGTGTATAAATATGGCGTGAAGCCAGCGGAGAAGACTGTCATGCAGCACGTATGATAGCTTTGAATTGTATATAGTTGTGTTATTTGTAATAAATTGGAATATTAATGATTAGAGGCTTTTCATCCATAGCTGTTGAATCTCAGTCTTCAATGTAGCAGAGTCTGCGCTGCTCTGTCAACTTTCCAGCGGTTCAGTGTGGTGTATAACAATGGGCTTGTATCTAATGGACACATTCTTTGTTTTCTGCAATACATCTTGATAAGCGGCAGTTAAAGGCTTTTGCACCACCTCATTATACCGATAATTCTCATCCTTTAAAAGATTTGGGTTTAAAAGTAAAAGTAAATGGATATTAAAAAATACATACTAGTTCGTAGCTGCGATCCGCATCGAGCACATCCTTGTAGGCTACAAATGGCACACGTAACTTGGGTTTAGCTACTTTACCACATTTTTGCACCATCCAAGTTTGAGGATCTTCATCGATCCAGGCAGTTATCAAATTACAAGGCACATAGTTGGAGGGGAGGCAGAACTGTCGTCCCACAACAAATGCTTCAATGCTGGAATTGCGGGAGGCGCCTGGTTTGAAAACGCACACATCCTTGAAGAATCGCTGCATCTGCTTAAAAATATAGCCTGTGTTGCCGGCACGAAATATTTTCGACACAAAGGAGCCGTTTTCCTCCAGTACATAAGTCGCAATGCTTAGCGCGGAGAGCAACAACTGGCCCTGCATGTATTCATCCAAATCGTGATTGCCAGTAGTATCTGGGGCGCCATCGCTAACCAGAAGTTGTGCCTTTTGCCCGCCAATATACTCAATAATTGCCTTCGCCGTCTCCTCCTTTGTAATATCAGCACGTAGCTGTGTGACGCCTTCTATGGGCGCCATACCCTGCAGGTCCACTGCAATGATCTTAACCTGCTTACGATCCTCAGCACTTCGGGGCTCGTAGAGGTACTTCGATAGGACTTGCGACCAGCCGCCGGGCGCAGCACACAGATCCACAGCACGTGTAACGCCTACAATGTTGTTCGTATAAATTAAATGTTTAGTTGTGAGTTCGCCTTACCTTTAAGTATTCCAAAGGTTTCCTCTGCATGCAGCAGTTTAAAAGCACTGCGAGCCCGCCAGCCTTCTTCCTTGGCTAGTCTATAGTAAATATCGCGTTTATCCTTTGAAGATCTGCCCATTTTTTTACACATTCAATAATTTGTTGTTTGTTGTTGAAGTTAGAGATGGGCATTGGCATGAAAATTTGAAAGAACACACACGCATGATTTTAACTATTCGTAACAAAATATGGCTCGTGACTCAACTGAAGCCTCTTTATATACTTTTAAAAGTTGTATATCTTTTGAAGACATCCACTTTTAATCAGATTTTCGGGTAAAATGCCCAGTATCTGATGTAAGGCCGTCTAAAAAGCATGTTTTTCTAACTGAGGGATAGAACCTACGATTTTATTTTAAGATTTGAAAACTATTTGTTTCACGCAAGAAGATGCATCAAATGAAATTTTATTTTCAACCTATTTACATTTTAGTTATAAATCAATTGCAGGAATACCGCTATTGTTGCAGTCAACAGATGGTTGCATGAAGGTGCCAGACTGCGCGGGTTATCGATAATGGCTGGAAATCGGTGAGCTATTGCCCATCCCTATTGTAAGCTGCTCGCTCGAATTGGGTGGTTTTTACACTGAATTGAGGCGTATTGCACATGAGATGATTCTCATTTTGCTCGAGTTAATGTGATAACTGTGCGCTAAAGTAATACATTTTCGTTTACTGGCCCAATCGCGCTTCTGGATGCTAGCCAAATACGCTTGCAACGTCAACGCAGCACCTGCAACAACAACAACAGCACAACCCCGCATAATCCTACAAAGTATCAAAAATAATACCTTAACGTAATTACAAGCTCCTCATTTCGGACTGGTCATGACACAATTAAAGCATTTGCATATGGGCGCTAAACTCGAGGACCTAGAGAAGCTGACGATCATTCCAGATGTGCGCAGCAAGAGTATGAAAATGTAAGTTGATACCTGTCCGCCTGCCCCGCCCGCCCGTTCTGCTCGCATTTGTCTCCATAAAATTTGTGCTGATTTCAACAATTCATCATAATTCTAATTATAATTTTTTCTTGTTTTCAGCTTACTAAACACCGCACGTAAGCTGTACCTGGCTGCTGAGGAATACCGCCTCGATGGAGACGAAGAGTTGGCTTACATCGCGTACATGAAATACTTTAATATGTTGTCGTGCATACGTAAAAAAGCTGATTATGCACAGCATAAACAGACGGTGCGACAAGTTTTGGGCGACACCGATTCAAATCGTCGCATAATGGACACACTAGAGGTGTTGAGTGATTCGCTGAGCAGACGCTATGAGCTAAATGGGTTAAATGCTTTGAAAGCGACGACCGAGTCGAATGGCCGTTTATCGCAGAACATCACAGTGCGTTCGCAAACGATGCTAACGACGCCAATGCAGGCGCAGGCCGTTGAATATGCGCCATCGGGAGTAATTAGTTGCGAGGCACTGTTCCAGCGTATGCAACAGAAATCTGTGTTAATTATGGACTGTCGCGCTAGCGCCGATTATGAGAACTCCCACTTGACCTACTATTGTGCATTTAATGTGCCCGAAGAGCTGATAACGCCGGGGTAAACACCACAAGAAAACACGAAGAAGTTGTACATTTTCTCAAACGATTTCCGTTACTTTATTTTAGAATGTCGGCGGGAAGATTGCAGGCCAGGCTGAGCAGCAGTGCGAAGGCGTCGTGGGCATCGCGTTCAGTGAAAGAATCTGTGGTGTTAATGGACTGGAATACAAAGGATGCGCAGCCAGCGTCCAATACCGCCATTGCAATACTGTTGGACATATTAAAGAATGTGCGTATGATTATAAATTACTGAAATTACTGGAAAATTTTAATGCTTAATGTTCCCTGTCTGCAGTGGGATCCCGATGTGACTTATCGCGCGCCCATACAAATCCTCGAAGGCGGCTATGAATACTTCGTCATGATGTATCCCACGCACTGCACAAATCCCAGTGTGCAGGCACCACAGCAAAATAATAACGATATCGATGGCCTCGACGACATCGAGTATCCCTCCATATCAGACATAACCATGAAAGAGGATATTAAAGCCCGACATTTTTCGATGCCAGCGGAAAATGGTATGGGAACGGGGACCTTGGGGAAACAGCGACCCAATGTGGATCGTGCCAGCAAACAGGCAGCTATGCGTACATATGACGAGCGAAGCAAACCAATTTCCGAGATAATGCGCGAACAACAAGAACTCCTACAAAAGGCAGAACAGAACGATGTGCTCCTGGATGATGCCTCAAAGAAGTGGCAAAATCTATTCGAATTGAAACGATTGCGTGACGAGGGCGCTACACTGACCAGTTCCGAGCAGGAGCTGCTTTATAATATACTGCAGCTCGAAAGCACCGCGGAGGATTATGTAAGTATATACATTTTTAATTAATTAAACCCTTTAGTATAAGTAAGAAATTTTCGGTTAGCGACAAAGATGCTTTTGAATTTTCTGCCAAAAAAAAAATTGAGACAAAATTAAAATAGAATATTATAATTGGCTGACAGTTTTGAAGAAAATGGATGAAACTCTCTTGTGCACAGCGAGAAAATTGAATTATCTGCATGATAGAATTGCAGAAAATGTTATTGTCTGGTTTTGGGATCCTTGGGAAAGTTGTGGCATGGGCGCCATTAGCACGACAAACTTTCGATATGGAAGAACTGAAATAAAGGTCTACCGCCTCTCATTGCAAATGTACACCTCTTTAAAAAGGTTCCCTTAATTTAAATCTTTCAGAAAATCGAGAACATACGCCTGCGTGATGAGCTGAATCGTTACAAGGAACAACACCAACAGCAGCAGCAAGCACCCCAACTCTCGCCTAAGGATGCGGAGGCAACCCGAAATATTGAGACCAAAATCCAGGAACGTCAACTGCTGGATGCACAACATGAACGCGAGCGTCTGGAACGCGAACGTCTCTTGGCTATCGCGCGTGAGGCAAAGCGCAGCTACAAGGAGCCAAGACCACCCACACCGCCAACGCCCCCAGATGCCCTGTCCATGCAGGGCACACAGCCGAAGGAACCAATTCAATCATTATCCAATAATTTCACGTCACAGCTACACATTCCTTATGACGACAATAGACGATTACAAGAGGATTCCGATCCAGCACCGACCATCGTCGAGAACAATACTTTGCCATTCATTCCAACCTACGATCGGGCCACGAAGCCACAGCAACATATTAACAACATTGTGCGCAGCCAGCCAGCGGATAGAAAGCGTGATTTCTCACCCGTTATCGGACAGAATGTGGTGAGTGCCAGTAGGCTCAACGAGCCCTATAACTAACATCTCAGTTCACATAAAATTTGAAAGGAGACGCATCAGCTAGAAATTAATGGAAATTTGTTAACTTTTATGTGATGATAATGATGGTTGAGCCTGGAGGGTTTGAGGTATTTTTTTTTTTAATATTGTGTGAAAGATTGATTTGATTATCCCAGTATGATGTGTTATTTGGAATCTTTAACTCTTCAAACGATTATTAAGAAAGCATGGATTTGGATTTATTCCTCGTCTTTTTCCCCTTTACTTGTTGCATAGATTCTACTAGATTGCTAAGCGTACCAAGTTCGTATTATACACCAATGCACCACCCACTGTCCACAACAGTCCAATGCAGAGGTGGGTGAGAAGTCGATTTAAAAGCCAATCACTAGACAATTAAGCTTTCTTGTGTTAGTTTTGCATTGTTGTTTGGCTGATTCATATGCGTTTTGGGGGAGGCGTTGCAACCACCGGTTGCTATTAATAGTCTGGCCTCAGACGGTGTCCCAATCAATAGCCCAAGCATAGCTATGGCTCATGGTCACGTGTAATGGTTCACATGTTTCCTCTTTCACATTGTCGTGCGCATTTTGTTCGATTCAGTCGCCAATTTTCGCCTCAACTCAAAGCATGTTCAAGACGTACAAACTGAAGCAACGTACAATAGTCAAAGTTCTTAAAGTTCTCGCGTGCCGATCAAGAGACAATTTCAAAGGATGATTTGTGTGTCGGGCGTAAAACTTCAGTTGCCCACGGGACCGCCTACCTACAGTATTTATAGCTCAATTTTCCCGCTCAGACGCGTAAGAGACAAAAGAGTGCTTAAATAGTTGGCTTTGAGGCCTGCTTTAGTTTAATTCTTTTAAATTTGTCAATTTGGCTAAATTTTCAGTTTTTACAAAATTACTTGCAAAGCTGGCTGTGCGGCGAAATCGTTTGTTTCAATTTTCGAACGAGAGAATATACATATCTTTAATATTAATTTGTCATATTTAAATCTATTATGTTTTCCTTCGATCCATCAAATGAGACTCCAATAAATCAGAAACAATTTCGATTACTTGTCAAAAGTAAAACGATTACAATTTCGACGATAACCCCCTTTTTTAACGTGAGAAAATTGGGAACTACTTACAATTCATTCCAATCAAGCAAGGACATAACTTTACAAATCGAGTAATTCGATCATTTTTTAGTAACTAAAAAAACTAGCTAGAGGTTCAAACCTATTTCCGCTTAGAAATACCTGTCAAAATTAAAAGTTTCTTGATGGTGTTTAGTGTTTGATGTTCCCTTAATTATATTAACTTTTTCTACAAAAAATTTATTTGTGTTTCCCAGACCAATTTAATCGAAATCTAAAACAGGAACAGAGTCCTTAATATGCTTTATTATATATAATATTATATGTTTTTCATTTAACGAAATTGTCGCACAAATAAATCAAACGAAATTAAATGAATCCATCTGTCTTAAAGGGACGAGGATTAACAGGTCTGAAAAATCTGGGCAATACCTGTTATATGAACAGCATTCTTCAGTGCCTGAGCAATACGCCCCAGTTGACAGAATACTGCATAACCGATCGGTACAAGAACTTTATAAGTCGCAGCAACAAAACCAATGGCCAGGTAATCGAAGAGGTTGCCGCACTCATAAAGGAGCTGTGGAACGGCAATTACAAGAGCGTGGCCAGCAAAGATTTGCGGGTGAGTAACGAAAAGGAATGCGGAAACAAATTTATCAAAATCAATCAGATTTCCACAAAATTTGTGATTGTGAATGAATAGGAACAGCCCTCTAGTTATGCCTACAACTAATTCATTTCATATGTCTTCTTTTTCAGTATGTTGTGGGCCAGTATCAGAAAATCTTTCGCGGCGTCGATCAGCAGGACTCGCACGAGTTTCTCACCATCCTCATGGATTGGCTGCATTCGGATCTGCAGACTTTGCTCGTCCAGCCGCGAACGCAAGAGACGATTAGTGCCGCGGAGAAGGCTTGGATGGATTTCACAAAGTATAAGGAGAGTGTCATACTGCATTTATTCTATGGCCAAATGAAGAGCACCGTTAAGTGTGTGGCCTGCAACAAGGAGTCAGCTACCTATGAATGTTTTTCGAATCTCAGTTTGGAATTGCCCCCAAATGCCAATGTCTGCTATCTGAAGCAATGCATGGATATGTATTTTAGTGGAGAACGCATCCATGGCTGGAATTGTCCTGGCTGTAAGACGAAACGGGACGCTATCAAGAAACTGGACATCTCAAAACTGCCCCCAGTGTTGGTTGTCCACTTGAAGCGGTAAGCATTATTATATTTGATTTGAAATTATGTAATAAGCATTTAAATTATCTAGTTTCTATGCGGATCCTGCGGACACTGGCGCCTATATCAAGAAACAAAACTACTTGCGTTTTCCGCTTGAAAATATGGATATGACGCCTTATATAGCACGTGCCGAATCTCGTTCAATTACGCCCAAAACGTACAACCTGTACGGCGTTTCCAATCACTACGGTTCCATGGAAAGCGGGCATTATACGGCATTCTGCAAGAGCGCTAACTATGGGCGCTGGTTCAAATTTGATGATCAGACCGTAACAGCGCTGGACGCATCGGCTGTCGTGTCCAGTGCGGCTTATATTCTATTTTATACCTGGCTGCCTCCCATGCCGGTTGAAACGTGAGCGTGAACCCAAAAGCAGTGTTTTCTCGACAAACTATGTTTATATATCTTTGTGTATATATACCCATACCTTCTACCTGCTTTTGATAATAATTTGTTTTAATTTGTTTTAGTTGTTATTTTTCCGACCCAGTAGCTCATTCTTTACTGTAGTTCTAGTCGCACTCCAAAATTTATAGTTTACTGCAAACTGTTGCTAAATATTTTAATTGATGCTTGTTTGTTGTTGTTTAATTTAACGATTACATACTTTTAAGCCAACTACAAACTAATTTTGCTTAGCTTAAGTGAAGGAAAAAACAAACCAATTTAAATGATAAACTATTTTACGGGTTTAATTCGTGAAACTTTAAGTGCATTATAACAAAAACAAAAAAGAGCAAATTTATAAATAGTTCATATATTTTACATTCATACATACCTATATACATATATATATATATATATTTTTAAACCAAATAAATGAAATTCAATTTCTGAATAAACATAAATTGTTCCAAACACTTGTCGCTTTTCAAATGACGGCGCGTTGTCTGCGATCTGGCAACGCTACCAAGTGACGGCTGTTGCGTTAGTGCTGTGTAATGCCACGTGTAACTTTACCAACACTGACAGCTGCGCGAAGACAAATACGTGGTACTACAATAATAGCCGTGTAAAATGAAATAAACAATTTTAAATTTAGTATAATAAGCGTGAAAGTTGATTGCCAATTTACAGTCGCATGCATAAATGAGACACATCATGAACATACCAGAGAACAGTCGTTTTGTTATATACGCAGCTGGCATCTTCTTCTGTTATTTTCTTTATGGAATTGTGCAGGAGAATATAACACGAGGGCGGTATGGCGATCAGGTGCAGCCGGATGGGAGTATTGGAGAGCGATACACCTACGCCTTGGCGCTAGTCTGGGTGCAATGCTTTTGTAATTTTGTGTTTGCTAAAGGTAAGAGCTGCGATTAGTTTCACATACCATGCGACGCAATTGTTAAACGCCCACACTTTCATTGCCCGGAAAAGGTATGCTGGTGGTGAAGCCGCAGAAAGAGGACACCACGCACACTGGCTACTATGCAGCGAGCGCCCTCACCTACTTGCTAGCCATGGTATCTTCAAACATGGCGCTGCGTTGGGTTCCATATCCAACGCAAGTTGTGGGCAAGTCTGCCAAGCCCATACCCGTGATGATACTGGGCGTGTTGATTGGTCGCAAGTCTTATAGCTGGACAAGATATGCCTGTGTGCTGACCATAGTTGTTGGCGTCATTTTATTCATGTACAAGGAGAGTAAAGTTTCGAATTTGCCAGCCGAAACAACTGGGCTGGGTGAGCTGCTACTCTTCCTAAGCTTGTCGATGGATGGCTTGTGTGCTGCTATTCAGGAACGCATGCGAGCAGCCTCTGCCCCATCAGGCCAACAAATGATGTTGGCCATGAACTTTTGGAGCACTCTAATGTTGGGTGGTGCGATGATACTGACTGGTAAGCTAATAACCTGTATGTATATACAAATATTTGTTGATTCGTGCTTGTTGCAGGTGAGGGCAAGGATTTTATATATTTTGCGACTCGCCATCCAGAGCTATGGACGCACATCGCTTTGATTGCTTTATGTGGCGCTATGGGCCAACTATTTATCTTCCTGATGGTTGCTAGTTTTGGGCCACTGGCCTGCTCTGTGGTTACTACTACGCGCAAGTTCTTTACGGTTCTATGTTCTGTGTTGATGTTTGGTAACAGACTTATTGCTCGGCAATGGTTCGGTGCTGTTTTGGTATTTGCGGCGCTCTTCGCCGACATGCTGTATGGAAAAAAGCAAGTTCCGGCTAAGAAATCACCAAGCGATGTCAAACTGAAGGGCAATAATGAGGAACAAAAGAAACTGATTTCATAGAATTTATTAGAGTTTTTTTTAGTATAATTCGTCTTGTGTTTAGCTGCATGTAAATACATACATACATACATATATATAACATTATCTGTAGAAGAATAGTAGACCTATCTCCGAATTGCATTATGTACAAAACGTCAATATTGTATTAACAATCGAACACTCCACTAGATCTGACAACTAATTAAATATTTAATTTAAAAATTTTAATTGACTTTTATAAGAGCGCTGGATAACCGCTAAAATGAATACTCAGTATCGATGCTAGCGTAGAGTGGTAGCCCTACGTGTCGGATATCGATAGCTCAGTCTATCGTCCTAAGTCACTTCGCTGGCTTTCTCGTTAACAACGGTCCGCGCGTGCATTTCACCAGTTTATTTTCGTTACTTAAATGCATGTGTTGTTCGTATATTTATTCATGGTATGCAAATACCAGCGAGTATATTGAGAATATCGAAATAGAAAATGTAAATTTGTCCGCAACTGTGCAATCACATAAAGGACACTCGGTAAATCGGCTACCGCGTTTTTAACACACAAACACACACATGCACGGGCAGAAAAGCAATCAAAAGCAGGCAACAAAAATTGCAATAAAGCTTGACCCATCAGTGAAATTAGTTAAATTAGAAATTTAATGAAGTGGAAATGTGTTGAAAGTGTTAAAAAAGAGAAGCAGAACTCATTTGGCTGCTCATTTATATAAAACAAATATTTTCTTCTTGGGTGAGTGTCAGCTCATTTGTTGTTGTTGCTGTTGTGTGGGGCGACAATTTTCGCCAGCTGTTTGTTTGTGTGTATTGCAATAGGAGTGCGTATGTATGTGTGTGTGTTGACTGAGTGATGGCTTATTTTTAGACGAACCAAATAACTAAACGAAACGAAAGTGAATGAGAGATGCCATGAATAAGTGTAATATATGTACGTATGTACATACATTTATATAAATATAGGCCCAGGACCAGGTGGAAATTGTGTGCAAATCTCGTTTTTTTGCATTGCTTTAAGACGTGAACACATGGTGTTCAAGGCCTCAATGCCTTTGCCACCCCCAACAACACAACACAGACGCACACACACACACTAAAACCTGCGCTCTCGCTTTGTTACACTCGTTGCCGTTATGTTTGTAACCTGGACATGGATGGTGGTTGTTTTTATATACCGTTAATATTTTGCCGGTTGTTGTTGTGCTTTTTCTAAGTGACGTAAACTTTTTCTGGCTTGTTCCGTTGCCTGAAAATTTCTCAAGCAACAGAAGCCGGTGAAATGCTCTTCTGTCGTCTATTATGTAAAGTTTAAAAACAATATATATATTATTTCGTTATTTTTATTGTTTTTGCACATGCTTATCAACCGAAAAAACAAAAACAAAACACTTCTGATTTATTATTTCACACATTTGTGCATTGCGACCCGAATGATAGACAAACGACCGACATACTAAAAGATAGTGAAAAGCCCATCGATGAAACATACTATGTATGTACACATATTTGTGTATATACTTGTATTTATATTAATGTGTGATATGTTAATAAGCTGTTGCTATCAATAGTGGCGGCAATAATAAAATACACAAAGAGCTCCACGCAAAACAATAAATAATACGCAGGTCCGATACACAAATCCAAACTAAAATATATATACATAAGTGTACTTTTGTACTATATGGGTGGGTATGTTTATATTTGGCTGATAATAAAATTTTGCTCTGCCAAATCGGTCAATTGATTCTGCTGTCTACGTCAAACACTGATTTCAATAACAACTTGAGAAAAAAGAATTAATACGGGCATAAATTTCTTGTTTTACTGCGGTGCAATAAAAATATAGTACGCCCTGCTACGTCGTATACAAGTAGAATCGCGTGATACTTAAAGAGCATCATTCGGCAATTAATGGAATTTCGCTGCAAGGCAGCAAAGCTTATCAGTGATGACTTAATAAACACAAAATACACTGAGCTAACAGCTATGAACACATACTCAAAACTTTAGTAATGGTATAAATTAATATATATTCCTCATTTTCAATGACAGTAAATTCTTTTTTTACTGTAATAAAATATAGATTTCTCACATATTGTTCATTTAATAACATATTTCAAAGTGCGTCACAAAGCAAACAGAAATTTAAAATAATATGCATTGATAAATGAGTTGGTTTTGCACGAGCTAGAAGCATGTCGAACGGGTGCTTTAGTCCTTGGTCTGCATGTCTTCAGAATAGTGGTACAAGCCTATTGAATGGGTTCGACATCCTTTCGTTAAATTGGCAAATTCAATTTTAAGAAAAAGTTATAGTCACACAGATACAAATCATGTACTATGGGAAGTGATTAATGAAAAATTCAAGTTTTTTTTTGTCAAAAAATATGCATAATTTACCATTGCTTAGCTCTATGGTCATTGCATAACCCAAATACAATATTTGCATATTCGTTCCTCACTTTCTCAACGTTTCCTTTTGTGCTCAACAAGTCGCTGCAAAAGGAATAATGTTGATGAATCGTTTCTCATTCGCTTTGGTTCCCTGTCATGCTTCACCTGAGGCCAATAAACGCATTTGACATTTGCCGAAAAGAAAAATTGTGGCTAACCAAAATATAGCATCTGCTTTGCACCTCCCCATCGCCAAGTTCTATTAGCTACTTATTTATAAACATTTTTTTCAAATTTTGCTTTGTGCTGGCAAATGTCTGCCTGTCTGTCTATTTCGTTTCGTTTCGTTCGGCTCTGTTTTCTTTTCTATACTGTGCTCCACATTTACATTGTCATGGTGTAGTTCCACCACCCACCCACAAATCCTACTGTCTTGCCCACACCAATGATGTCATCCATCCATTGACAGCCGACCGTTTGGTTGCTGCCTCCTCTGGTCACATGTTTGGATGTTCGCCCAAAAGTTTGTAGCTAAGGCGTATGTACAGTTTGTGTGACTTTTCTAAATATTTCACAATTGAGAAAAACGTGTACATTCTTGTACGTTGATGGGTTAACAAAGTGGCCTTCAACTTAGGGCTGACTTTACTGATAAAAGGGGGTTGATTTTTAAAATTGGTTTATGAAATTGTATAGTAAATAGAAAAAATAATATTCAGTATATGAGAGGTGTTAACACATAAGATTCTTTTGCGGTGATTGCCGAGATTCAACACAAATTAAAAAATAAATAAAAGACCGAACATGTTGTTTCTCTGGAAATGGAACTCCCGAACTAGAGCTTCAAAAAGAATCAATGATTAACATGATTGATTCCTAGGCTTTGACTTTTTGCATCTGAGCGATCCTTTAACTCAATTTTTGACCCACGTCCATTTGCGTCGACGTATCATACCCTCCATGAGAATGTTATCAGTCGTCTCCTAGGCGTAGGATCGATGTAGCGGCTGTGGACTTTTCTTCCTTCGATCGCTGTCTTTTAGGGATTTCCTCCCATCCGGAAGTTGGCGAGCTCCGGTCTCTAGGATTGGGGGATTAGCAGCTGGGCTTTGCTGCTAACCCAGAAGCTGAGGCAACCGATGGGCTTTTCGGATTACCTCCGCATGATAGCAATGGTCAGTTCGATGACCATTTAATTTAAGGGATTTCGTCCCATCCGGAAGTTGGCGAGCTCCGGTCTCTAGGATTGGGGGATTAGCAGCTTGGCTTTGCTGCTAACTCGGAAGCTGAGGCAACCGATGGGCTTTTCGAATTACCTCCGCATGATAGCAATGGTCAGTTCGATGACCATTTAATTTAAGGGATTTCGTCCCATCCGGAAGTTGGCGGCTCCGGTCTCTAGGATTGGGGGATTAGCAGCTTGGCTTTGCTGCTAACCCAGAAGCTGAGGCAACCGATGGGCTTGTCGGATTACTTCTGCCTGTACCGATAGCAATGGTCAGATGCATAATTAGCTACGAAAAAATGAAGACAATCACCCAATAACCGGTGCGAACCGGTTGTGAATTATAAACAAAATTGGGGGAAAAAATTTAATTAAATTACAAAAATTCCAATAAATTAGTTAAAAATTCCAAAATTCTAATAAATATATAAAACAAAAGTAAAATAATATATAAGTGAAATTAATAAAAAAAACACTAAACATAAAGAAATAGTAAACAAATGAAATAATAATATAATTAATCAAAATTAATTAAAAATATTAGTCAAAATAAATTAAATTTGAATAATAGTCTTTATGATTGGTAATTTTGAAAATAATAGAGCAGTCCAATTTAATTATGGGAGATAATGAGGGTAATAAAATTGGTTCCCTTTTTTAAATGCTTTTAATATATATGCACATATATAATTGTAATTAGTTTGTATTAATAAAAATCAAAAATAAAATGTATAGCTTAGAGAAATCAAATTGTTAATGAAATGCAGGATAATCTATTTTTTGTGCTGCTGTGTAAATAATTTAGTTTCAACAATATGTATCTAAGCATGTTGAACTGTCTTCAGAATAAATATGAATCACTTATCTCTGTGGGCCTCGCATTTTATTTTAAATTCTGCCGCTCTTTGTGCATTTTCTGCACGCTTCGCCTGATTAATTGTAATAAATTTTAATTGGAACGCTTTCACATACAAATGGCTATATTTTCCTGTGTGAGTCGGTGAGTTTGTTTATTTTATAGAGCCGCGCTGTGCAACTGATTGCGGAGGCGGTCATTGGTTTGTAGCTGATAAGTGGGAGTAGACTTGAAGGCGGCCTCTGAAATAAAAGTGAAGCTCATAGTTAAGAAATTTGTTCTCACATAGCACATAATTTAAATTAAAAGCAAAACATTATGCAATTAGAAATGAGCCAATCATCCCACTTGACCTTTCGCCCAATATACTATACAATGCTTGAAGTATCCAGGGTCAGTTATAAGAAGATGAGTCATAGGCCAGAGCTCTGGTATTTCGAAAGCTCGCATCATAAGCAAAACGACAGCCCACAATATATGTCAATCATACAAAAATGCAAACACACGCTCACACACACGCAGATGCATTATATGCCAAAACGTAACGCTCACGTGTTTGGCGTCTTGTCAAGTATGCGAAGAAAAAAAACAAATATTACTCATACGACGCATCTGCGTAGCTTTTGGGGCAGC